TATTTAGTTTATTAATAAGTAAAATAAACGCTGTTCTAGGGTCTGTCAGATTGCCTTAAAACAGCTGATGCAAATTCCTAACTACATGCAATATTTTTAGCATCACTTTTCTCAGTGTGGCATCAGAACATTGTGCTCATTGTCTCTTTGTCCCATCATGGGAAACAAAGAGGGCGTGCATCGTAATGAATACAGCTCAGAATACATTTGTCTAATTTTACAAAAGGCTCTCAATATTTTAGACTGGGTAAACCAAAAAAGAAGTCCCACAAAGATGACAGATTTTTGAGGAAACTGTGGATCAATAGCATGTTATGTCCATGACCCCCTCCTCTGTGGCTTTCTGATGGCTTACACATTTTTACTTTCATTTTCTTTTCTTTTCTTTTCTGGGTGTGCAGGAGGGTGGTGGGGATAGGGAGCTGGTCTGATGAAGTGTTAGAGTCTTAAAAAAAACAAAAAACAATGCGAGGTTATTTGCATGTTTGCTATGTGTCTACGCTGTGCTTTCAAGCTCAATTAATACTTCCAACTCACCCTTACAAATTCGTTGCATTGTTCTATGCCCTAGAGTAAAAGGACAAATTAAATACAAACTTGTGTGGTCTTTGTTTCTAGCCATGTACTGCAGTTGCTTCGAACATCCTGAAAAACAGTATGTAATAAGCTTTTGTTCTCAGAAAATCATGTTTAAGTCTAGCTTTCATATGAACCTCTATTTTGTCCCATAGAATATGGAATGATCGGAGAGCATACAGTAAAAAGTCAGCGGCCAAGATCAGTTCATGACACAAAGGCCCTGCAGGAGCAAGCTGAATCTGCTAAATTTATGGCACAAACTGGTAATACACTAGTTATGTTTCTTTACTTTATTTTGTTAACTAAACGTAATTTCATCATGCATGCTCTCTCTTGTACTGCACATTTTAAGTGGAAATGTTTTGCATTATTATTTTTTCCAACTCATTCTCTATTGCTACATATGAACTAGGAAGATAAAGTTCCCATTTCTCTCTGAGTATTTACTTTGAATATAGAACATAATTGGGTTTTGTGGGTCTGTTTGTTTTATTGTCACATAGTGAGTTGGCAAGTGGATTACTCATACAGTAAATTCACATAACATTAATTAAACAGCAGTTTAAAACTAAGGCCCTCATGTATTTAATCATTTCCTCCAAGGCATGATAAATTAAATGTCATTCGATGAAAAAACCCACCCCTTTAGCCAAATATGAAACACATACTTGGCAAAAGTTAAGCTGATAGATGCTGCCCTTAGAGATAAAATGAAGCTATGTGGCTTAATCAAGTGTAGCATCCAATAAATTAAAAACTGATATGATCTAAATTCATAATGATTTTTACAAACTGCAACCTTCCTAATAAAATCAAAAAGTTTTGAAATATGTGACAGCAATATTAAAGCAAAACCTTAATTTTGCTTTCACTGTTTAGTTCTTTTGACTTTACTTTATCTAGAAAACACTTTTTTTTTCTTCAGTGGGTGGGTTTAGATCTAGCTGCTATTGAGATTTTTATTTTATTTTATTCTTTCTTTCAATTTTTGGGGAATTGTTTTAATTTTTTCATGTGTTGTTCCATTTAAATTGCTGTCATTGTTTAAAAACTTTCATTACCATTTTAATTTTTATACACATACACACCGGTACTAACTCATTAACGCCTCTCCATTTTACACACGCTGTAGGTATGTTGTTTCCCTGTCGAGTCACATCGCTGTGCTTTTCTGTTTCTCATTCTCACACAATTTACTCTCCCTGTACTGCCTCATTTAACAAATTGATCCACCTTTCAGTCTATTTTATGATCTGCAAAATTAAGGGCAGGGTTTAGATCCCTATTTGGCTGAATCTATGTCTCCTTGATACTACATGCTGAGAAAGTATTTTAAAGCACATTGTGCTATAAAATTCAAATACAATTTGATGACCTCCAATGACATAAATGTATTCAGAGCTGCAATTGAAAATATTCCTCTTGGTATTCAATTATTTCTCTAATGAATAAAGCCTCAAAGGAAATGAATACTTCTCCTGAGGGTTTAACATAATCAAACAGAAATTATTTGGTGACTATTCTGATGTAGGAATTTGATTGTCCATTCACTTGTCACCAAATAATGTATTCCTTACCGTGGCTTTGGAAATCATCCCACTGCCTCATCATAATATACAGCTTTATTTAGCATTTCATGGCTTTCTGATATTTGACCCCTTTTAGAAGATTGAAAGGCTCAATGTTGGTTCTTCTTATTCTTTTTAATTTAACCCAATCCTTACTAATCAGAGTTAAACTACTTCAAAGTCTGCTTACCAAAACCTCCATATAGACGCAAAGGCCTGGACAATAAAAATCCACTCATTCTGTGGCTTAATTATTACCTCTTACATTTCATCTGGGCACTCACAATTGAAATTGCTGTATATTTAAAACAGCATTCTTTGAGCCACATTCGCACACAGGAAAATGGCTGTGATGTGCTGAATAAAATCAGCTAACTTTCTCATTTTCCTCCACCTCTGGAGTTAACAGGTTAAGATGGATTTGAAAAATATTTGAAACCATCGTCTAAAACAGAGAATTTGCTCCACTGTTGTCAAGGAAACTAGACAGTTTGCTGCAGTGCAAGGGAATCCATATCTCAGACCTCTTTCTGAACTAACACCCATTCAATTCCATTTTATTTTTTCAGATTTTGTCTTTCTTGCATGTCACCATGTTCTTATGAATTTTATTTTGGGTGATTTTTCTCATTTTGTTTAAGCATATTATTGGGTTTCACTGAAATGCATGAAACTTTTTTTTAAGATAAAGTGAAACAGTTGGATGCAACCCTACTGTCTACTGTTCATTTTGATAACCATAGCTATGTCCTCTCTGTGATCTTTGCATAAATGCCCATTAAATTTGTTAATAAAAGCATTACTCATTTACACATCTCTCCTACACTATAAAGACCATGATTGCACACAAAACACTTTATTTAGTGCATACAAATTAAATGACTAGTCAGAAGAAATAAGCTGCCCATTCAGTATTTATCAAAGATCACATAAAGGTAGTATAGACTATACAATAGTGTAAATCTCAAGACTCATGTTGGCCCCTTCCCATTGTACTAAACCCCGCCCACCATGCCCCGCCCCCGTAAGCCCTGCCCCAGGACCATATTGCTGCATTTAACTAGTGTCACCCTTCTCCCACACAGGTGAATCAGGTGCAGAGGAGTGGTCCCAGTGGAGCTCATGCTCTGTAACATGCGGTCAAGGGTCGCAGGTGCGAACAAGAACATGTGTCTCACCATACGGAACACACTGCAGCGGCCCTTTAAGAGAATCAAGGGTTTGCAATAACACTGCCCCTTGTCCAGGTAGTGTTAGCCGCAGATTCTTGAATATTAATGTTTTGCTCATTTGTTGTTTATAGGAGGAAATGTGTTGCTGTGTTTTAACAAACTTTTCAATGTGTCTATTTAAGAATGTATTATTATCATCATTACTCCAGGTATTATTAATCTAATGCTTTCTTTTTTTGATGTTATTTTGTGAATGTGTTTTTTTTTTCATTATCACTTTTGTGTTTTCCATTTCATATAACTGTAAGGCAATTCATCAACATTGAAATGGTTTAATGACATGTGGTTCTGCATGGAGCTTGGGGAGCAGTAGATACTGATATGTTGTCAGCTTCGTTTCCTTGAAGGTCAGCCGTGCATTTTAAAATAGCTTGGCAGCGTTTCTTCAAAACAAACTGCAAGGCATTTCTTCCTCAACCCATGATGGCAGGGCAGATGAGTCACTGGCAGTCAGGTATCAGCATCAGATGCTTTTCTGACTGGTGATTGCAGCGCGCTAATGTTTGTCTGTTCGCATCTATTAGGACAGTGTGATTCTTCTAAACAAGTCGCCATTATCCATTTTTGGGATTGTTTACAGAGACAAATATGTTGATTTAGTAATGAGATTCCGAACTCATGTTTAGTCAAGATATTTGATGGCGCGTTAAGTGTAGTGCTTCACAGATCTCATCACAAACTCTTAAGTAATTATGGCTGATCAAAAATACTGCGAGCTGCATCCTCTGACATTCTGATTTATGATGCACTGTACTTCCTTTTTAGATGTGGCATGTGTAAGTGGGAAGTTGGCAGTTTTCAAAAGGGTCATTCTCCTGATGTGTGTGGACGGTAGAAAGAGAATGAGTCATTCCCAAAGAACAGTTGCCTAACTACCAGTCTTGGTGTGACTCCTCCACGGCCATTAATATTTAGCTCAGACAGCAATAAAGCTCAAGGAAAAAAAGCTACACAGCCCAATTCCAGGTATATGCATTCATTTGCAAGGAGAACAATTATTAATTCAGAACCAGAACTTACAGAGTTGCCCATGTGAATTCATTATTGTCCTTGATTTATCTCAAGACCTGCAGACTTTAGGCATTTACTCATTGCTAATTGTGGATCCAGAACTTTTTTCACATAATAATGCAGAAACACTTATCACCAAAAAACTGGGTCATAAAAGTCTGGGACAACTTTAAAGTAATTTTGACATTTCTGCAAGAGTAAGACAGTGTTAGAACTTTTCCTTTTAGGAGAAAAATGGAGCGGGAGGGTTAGGATGAGAGTCTTTTAAACTTCTATATTGTCACTTATCTTCAGTTATTGTATTGCTTCATATTGTTTTTAATTAGATCATATCAAATGTATTGTACTGAAGTGTCATTAAATTGCATTGCCTCTTCCCTTCTTTATATTAAAAATTTAACATGGCACTAACTTTACTTAGCTACAAAAAAAACCCCCACGTGGCACAGCACCACATAAAACACAGAGTCTATATCTAGGATTCTGTAAGGCAGACAGATCCATTTGCTTTCTTCAAACTAAATGTAGAATGCCAATGTGGAAGGATACCTTCAAAACAGAATATGCTTAAATAAAAGACACATCACTTCCAGTCTAAAAGGAACCTTACCTTATAGTCATCATCACTGAAAACATCAGCTCATCTGGGAACAATGGTCCAGGCGCTGCAGGCTGAGATCAAGCATGTCGTTAGACATTCTGGGCCTCCATACAAGCTGTGATGCCACTCATTCAACACACTGCATCTGCCAAAATACAATAACAATTCTGTGTTACGAAATAATCATTTTCCCTGAGTAGTCCTCCTTTTCAACCGAACCAACAGCACCCCATGCTATATATGTTTCCTTTTTAATTCTAGTGCATTTATTTTGCAGGAATTCTGTTATGACATTTCTACAGTACAGGATTTACGTCCAGTGCCAACACTGAGCGCCAACACAGAATTAGTTCTTATACTGTAGCACACCATACAGTGTGATGGGTTCGGTATCAGCATTTAGTATTGTTCTGTTTCACTCCCTGTCCTCAGTAAAACACATATATACAAAATGGGTAGCCTAACTTTATTTTTATGTGTGTTAATATTAATTTCTTAAACAAATTTCACAATGCGTGGTTTGGCTGGGGTAAGTTAGAGGGTTGATTTGAAAATTCTTGGCTGCCAGGATCACATTTAATCTTGTCATCAACAAGTAAGAGTACGTTATTACGTTAAGTACGTTATTGTCTGTCAACCTCTACAGTTTGATACAGTTTATTACTCCATGCCATTGAACCCAACTGCCAACAAAAACAGTCAACAGAGAGAGAGAGAGAGCCATACCTTGAAAGAGCACGGCTAGCTTACTTCTTTTTTTTTTTAGCGTGTTAAGCTAGCAAAGCGACGGAAACAACGAATCACTACGCTGAGCATGCGCAGACACGTCTGTCCGCCTGTTTCTTTCAGAATAAACTACTGCTCATTGCAGTGAATTAACGTCAAGTGCAAAGGTATGTCTCCTGTATTTTTTAATGGGTTTCAGAGGACTGTGGAGTTCTGTGGCATGGAGAAGACTGTGACTGTTAGGGTACATTTGTTGGTGTCTTTAGGATTGCTAAGAACCCAAACGCTTTAATTTAGGAAAGAATATTGCCTCAAATCAATCAATCAGATCGTTTCTGTTATGTATAGCATCAGCGGCAACAGCAGCAATGATTTTCTTACAATCAGAGGAAAATCTGGGCAGTTAGTTGTAGAAGAGGCCAAAGGCCCCATGGAAACCAAGCATATGCAAACAAAAGGCAGGTGCCTTTAAAAAAAATGTTTTTTAATTAGCAGAAAACTCTGGAGGTTCAGTCTGAAAATAAAATTATTGATTATTTGATCATAAAGACAGCAAACTTATTTATTTAAGGTTTCACTGCTTTAAGAGCACTTTAGCAATACAAAACCATCACAACCATGCCAGAAACCTTAATGGTCAGTGCAAACCAAAGACAAATAAAAAAGTATAGACTGGAAGAAGTCATGTCTTTTATTAACCAATACAGAAACAATATTGATAAGACACAATCCTAGTCCTCGATTGTGAGCCAGTCACAACTGAAAATGTAAGCCTTCAGGGGAACATTCAAATGTATTTATTGAAAAAGAAAATCAGTAAGATCATGATTTCACTATATGGCATTTTTCATCTGATTAGGACATGTGCTCTTGCATGTGGCTCTTGGAGACACTCAGTGAACCCACAAGGACTCTGATACCACTTCTGAGTACTAGAGACAGACTTATTGTATCACAAAAGCATTTCGAGGTGCCATTGCTCCTTTATTTGTATTGTGCAAATGTAAGAGCAGTACTGCACACAACAGCTTTGAACTAGAGCTGTATGATTAGCAGCGTAGACTTGATTGTGGTGTAGTGGAAACTACCTCAATCAGCTCTGTGGCAAAAAAGAGATGGCACTCTGCAACAAAATAATCAATACTCTATGGAAAATACAGTTTTGCACAAGAGGAAGGCTAACAAGTTTAAAAGGTTAAAACCTCACTGGAATGCTATGAGAAGGACAAACAAATCCCAGTTTACCACAAATGAATGAAAATATTCTTGGCAAATACGTTTGCTTTGGCCACCATCTTGTGCTGTTCCAAGAATTTCACCTCTAGCAGCGCAATACGATTGCTCATCGCCCTCCCTGTAAATGATGGCCGCAGTTCAGAGAAAACACACACAAAGAAGAGGAATCCTATTCCATCGTTGCTAGCTGTGGTGATTGCCTGCTTTGAAGTAAATGTTTCGGCCACCACGGGACACTTAGCTAAGAGCATCAAAGCAGTGCCTAGAGGCAGGGGCTGGGACAGACGGTAACTCGCCTCATGGTGGACCATCGGCTTGATCCCAAGATCCAACTACTCTACAACTGATCTTGAGATCCAACTATTGTACTGGAGGAACTTTAAGCTTCTGCACAAGCTGTGGATAGCGACATCTCTGAACCATCATTTCCCTGTGGACAAAGTAGTCACATACTTTTCCAAAGTCTTAAATCCCATTTGCAATCAACAGATGATAAAAGGCCACCAGAGATGATCTGTCCACCACCAATCTCCCATAAATACTGCCCTTTATTTTGTCTTATATGTATAGACATGGCTTGCCCCCATGAGCCTCTTATTCCTGTTGCAGCTGATTAGAAAACAAGGAATTTGCAGCTCTAATGTGTTTAGCAGACACACACTTCTGGTACAAAAAAATAGCTCCTGTGTGATTTGGGTTTGATACAATTGCCATCCCTTCAATTTCGTCAGTAAATTCACTTTATCGCTGGGATCAAGAAGCCAACAGTTGCTTCAGAAACTAATATGTGAGGTTAAACTTCTACTCTTTGAAAGAAGTGTGTTCATCATTGCATATCACACAGCAAGTGCCAAGACAAGACAGGAGGTGTCTTACTTCTGTCTGCCTCTCAGATTTACACATCTCCCTCTCCAAAGAAAAACTTTGAGCCAATAGCAAATATTCTCTGCAGTTCTATGAAGACTTACCATCTGTCAACCAGAACGTGGTTAAACTTACACACAAACCAAGATGCAAGAGGAATGATGCAATTTGCCAGCTATTGTTTAAAATTAATAAATAAATAAAAAATATTACAGTTTAAAAGTTGCACTTTTGTCATGATATGCCTCATTTGAAAGCATCTATTTGAAAATATGTATTTAGCAAATAAGCAAATTACAAATGTATTAATAGCATTAGCAATAGCAGGGATGACTGTGCTAGAAAACTATCTGCAGTGTTGTAAATAGAAAGGGAAATGCAGGTTATGATTAGAAACTCAAAGTAATCTAAAATGAATTGTGTTTATCTAAAGATCAAAACTTTAAAAATGGGACATCTCCCAGTTCTTGTTTTGAATGTATTTTTATTTAGTTTTTTATATTTGGATCAAACAATTGTAGTGGCAGTATGTCCAAAAGTGTCCAAAAACCACAATATGCCCTATGAGATTTAGAATTACATTAATTAAGAAAACACGAATAGCCTTTGGAATATTTTCACATTTCTCAGGCATATACATCTAATGAGGAAACACCAAACAAACATATCACATTTTTAGATCAGTTTTTCTTTTGGATTTGGGCTGTCTGGCCTGAAATTTAGTCTGAATGGCCATTTCATTACCAATCATTCGACAAAACGTAAAATGTGGGAAGTTAGTCAGAGTTCTGGAACCAGGTTATCGGCTGTCTGCTTTGTGTATACTCATGATTGTGAGGGTGTAACGGCATATATAGAACCATTGTCAGCCCGCATTAACCTGAAGGTCCACTGCTATTAAATTCCCAGTCAACCAAGAAGACTCAACAAACTGTAACACTGTGCAGACTGGCTGCTCCTCACCCACACCTTGAATGTCAGGATCCATATTGTTGCTATTCTATTTGTTAAAACATAAAAGGTTATATACCTTTATTAGTGTATGAAGCGTTGTCAGTAGGGTAGCGTTTATTTCTATTGTGTACATGATAAAGACCAGTAAATGTATAGAGGTGACTGAAACTTGTGGCTTTGTGAAGCCCCACAGTGTCTGTGTGCTCACTGTTTCATTTACATTAGTTTTGTTCCTAATTGTTTTTGATTTATTTTTTCATTCCTGGCTCACCGCAGTCTGTTATGGGTTTGTCTATGCTATAGCAGCGACAGAGACATTGATTAGGCCTGACGCGTTTTTTGTGCCCGCAGTACACGGTGTATGGGAGGAGTGGTCACCGTGGAGCCTGTGCTCATTCACATGTGGCCGAGGTCACCGCACTAGGACTAGGATGTGTGCCCCTCCCCAGCATGGAGGCAGGGCCTGTGATGGACCTGAGACCCAGACTAAGCTTTGCAACATAGCCCTATGCCCAGGTATCATCTGTCTGCTGTCTAAATATATTAAAAATAGCAATATTAACATTTATCCCTGAAGGCATGATGATGAGAGGGATGTAAGAGGTAAAATCATAAAAATAACTCATTTGAAAAGATCAGTTCTTGAGAATGGTAGCAGTTTACCATACACATAGATATATATTTATTAATCAACACAGTACTACAAAAGGTGAGTAAAAAACTGAATGAATGCAGGGTTTGTGGTGCATTTAAAGTAATAGTGCGGCTTAGGAAACCCTGTGAGTCAATACTGTAATACTGACGTCAAAATCACTTACCCGCAATTGCCCGTGAATGGTAAGCAGATTAGTGATGATGAGTTTTTCCACACAGCAAATGTTAGCTTTGCTCTGGTAACAGACTCAGTGAAAACCACTCAGTCCCAGATGCTTTCCCTCTGCCCAAACAGGGAAAATGGAAGGCAGCTAATAAGTTTCTGCAGTATGTGCCTTTGACATTTTAATAACCTAAATCTTAATGTGAAAGCATTATAGCCAAAACATTGTTTATGTTTAATCCTGCTTTTGCTATTTTGGGAAATTCTAGACTGAAAAAAATCAAAGCAGAAAACCAGCAGGAAAATTCTCCAAAATCTAGTAGCCGTGTCGTTTTTTGCTTTCCACTTAATGTCTGTTTTATTGGCTTTCAACCTGAGAGAGAATAGTGATCTGAATATCTCCTCCCATTTCTGTCTGCCGTCTTTTTCCCTTCACATGGGACATGCTTGTTGGGTTGTGGTTGGTGCCTCAGTGGACGGACAGTGGCAGGAGTGGAGCTCTTGGAGCGATTGCTCGGTGACCTGTGCCAATGGCACTCAGCAGAGGACCAGGCAGTGCTCAGCGGCTGCCCATGGGGGATCTGAGTGTCGCGGTCACTGGGCAGAAAGCAGAGAGTGCCATAATCCTGACTGCACAGGTAAAATCCTGAGCCTCTTAATTCTATATCCGCTTTGATGTCTAAATTCAAAATTGTGATTTGAAAAAGGAAAAAGATTGACAGTGCATCCCATACTGTCATCATCATTATTACAAGTATGAGTACCATAATCGTAACTATCAACTTTTGATAAAATTTGCAGCCTGATTTACTCTTTCTGTTGCGTACTGAAAGGCTCCGCAGTAAGAATCAAAGCTGTGTTGTAAGAATCAAAAATAATGTTTAAGACCATGCTCTATCAATTGGATTTCTAAAATCCAGTTAGATTTACTGTATGCCTTTCACATAATTCAGGGTTAGCTGTCCAAACTGCCTGTCAACATCATAGATGTGTTAGAGGCTCAAAGATGTCAGCTTAGTGGTCTCCATCAGGCTTTGAATTGTCTGATCATATGAAGGGCCTGAGCACTCTCATAATCGCCTGATGCAATTTTCACTGCAGCAACATAAAACAGCTGGGTTTTAGTCTCCATTTCTCTGGTATGTTTGTGTGTGGGAAAGAGATTCCTCTCAAATGTTTGAGAGTCAGTGGGAATGTTGTGTAACCAGTCAGCCAACCTTAACGCTCTCTTGGACCATTGAAATAGCGGTAAAAGCTTGTGAATGCATAAATCGGTGCCAGCCTGAAA